GATTAAATTAGATAGCCTAGCAGCGGTACTGCTTAAGAGGGTACACATTATCTTTATTATGACACCTACAAGTCCTTTTAAGAAACACAAATAGATTTCTTGAAGAAGGGATTTTAAGGTTTTTTGGAACTTATAAATTACGGCAAATATCTTGCATATGTTCAACTCCAAATTAGTTCGCCATCCCCAATTCATAATAAAACATATATATAAGCACTCATTTTTGTAACAATGCTCAAATTTTGGAACTGAAGGATTTTTATTATCCCTCCCCCCCCCCCCCCCCGATTCAATCCCACATTTTCCTTGATATTGGACAAGACAACCGGCCATATGGTTTAGTCTATGGCTAATGCCAGAAGGGCTAGGTACTACTACAGCAGGTATCTATAAAATAGAACAAATATTGGTTGAAAGGTATCCCCTGATTGAGGGTTTTAGACTTTTAGCTAGCCTTTGAGGGGAGACATTTTGATAAGCCAATTTAGCCAAATTGATTGATTGATTAAAATGTTGTAGTATAGTACTACACATCTTAAATCTAAAGATTAATTTTTCTTTTACAAAAAAAAAAAGAATAAAATCGATAGAATAGTGGAATACCTCGACCAATGTGGAAAACAAACAATAATCAGGGCAACATCTTTTTGACTCTCACGACCATGGGTTGACCTACCCACTCCACTTCTCCCAAAACCAAAAAACCCTTTTTGAGCTCTCTAATTTAAATTCAAAATTTGTTTTGATTATATTTTTTTGGCCTTTTTGCCTCCCCTCCCAACACATCCGAATAAGAAAACAGACCCCTTTTTCTTTTCTTTTTTTTTCCAACTCTGGTCTCTCTCTGCCTTTTTTGCTGCCTTGATTTCCTTCAAAACCTCTCTTCCAAGATGCCAGCGACTGTGCAAACACAGGTTCTTGTTTTCTTCCAAAATCTTACAATCAATTCCATGCATCCACATTAATGTTCCTCCTTTGACCACCTAATTAATTACTAGTAGGTCATTTCCATCCCCAATCAACAAACAACCTCGACTATGATGATAACTTTCACTAGCATTTTGATTCAGTTTGGTGAAAAATGGTCTCCCACATAAGTATGCAGGTGATTAAGTCCGTGAATATTATTAGGTATTTTATATATGGAACTTTGATCACTGAACTGGGTTGATTTTTAATCTTTATTTTTTGGGCTTCAAGAAAGTGAATTTATTGAAGGCTGTGTTACAAATTTTTTCTATATAAAAAAAAAAAATTAGGGCAAAAAGATGCGGACATGGAGATCCACCAATTCTCCATGCTTTATTTGATCAAAACTTTAAGCAACGCGGTTGAATCAATCAGATACAGCACTTTGTAGCATTAAAAAACTTTTTGTAAACTTTTACAGTTTCATAATATTCAACAAAGTGATTTTTCCTCTTTTTTTTTTTTTTTGAAAACAAAAAGGAGATAAATGTTGATCATGATTTATGATGATCATATAATTAAGTAGCTAGGTTTTTGGTATTCATGGTTTAGACTTTAGATTAAGTTGGGTTCATTGGGATGCTTAATAATTCTGCCAAAAAAAAAACAAACGTTAGACAAAATAAAAAAGGTGCATGAAGATGGGAGTGGTTGAAAAGTGGAAAAAGCTGAGCACACTTTTAGGGTTTGCTTTTTTCTTTACCCAAATATATACATTAATTTTATATATATATTTATATATATACTTAATTAAGTTTAATTTTCCGGGGAAGATTCTTGTCATCGAACAGAAACAAAGTAGAAAACTTTAAGCTCAGAACCTAACGCTGGATTAATATGCGTCATTGATCGCTGTTAGAATTAGAAACTACCAAATTCAGACATTAACAACAGACATCTTGAATTTCGGATCCCTTCATTTTTAGGTTTTACTGTTACATTTTTTTTCTTTTCTTTTTTCTTTCTGTTTTGGAAAAAGGAATACAATGAGCTGTTTTTTGGCTCGATCCTGTTTTATTTGTTGCTGTTGTTTTTAGTCTTCGTCACTACTTACAAAGGATGTATATTATCATTAATCCACACAAAATGTTGTGTCCGTTGATTATGGTATGGCTAGTATATTGTTATATATTTTGATTTAATGTATCATTTGGGTTCAAAGATATGATTCGCACCGGCCAGTAAAAACGAGATTGTGTGTTAAATAGAATGTAATTAGCGTCTTTTATCCACGAAAAAAAATGACGTTTAACCAGGATGCTACACAATACTACTACTATTTCGAGTTAATGTGATTACCATTGCTAGGAATAATAAATGGATTTTTTTTTTTTTTGGTGAATCTATTTCATAACTATCGTTATTAGTTTCTGATAACTTTTCGATTTTTTTTATATGTATACATACAACAACTATACGAAAGGATTAGTCGTTAGTTTTGAAACTGAAACAACAAAGTTTAGTTAAGAGGTTTACTTCATCGCTCTCGTCAATTAGTTGATTATTTTTATTAAACTTAAATAAACGGATTACAATGTCAATGTATTTGCTTAAATAAACGGATTACAATGTCAATGTATTTTCTTTTCATCGATAATCACATATATCCCGCCGTAGGTTGCATTATTTCATTATTTTTTCGGAACGGAAAGGCAAGCAGCACATCGAAAAAACTCGCCTACATATATGGTAGACGATAGTTCTATCATTTTAGCCTTCCATACTAAGTAATTTGCCGTTTCAAATTTAAATGTTCTTGATTTAAAAATATACTAAAACCTCCGTCCCAAAAAAATAGTTCACATTGAGTTTTCAAATTTGTATTAAAAATAGTACAAAACTTTAAACTCAATGTGGACTATTTTTGTGACACGGAAGGAGTATATAATTTCTGTTTGTAGCATTTTGAAGGGAAATTAACCAAAACTACTAGCACAATATCAATAAGAAACACCAACTAGGAGCGCTTCTTATACTTCCTTTGATTCTTTGACCGTGCCAATAGCTAGTATACTCAATTGAAAAAAATTGATATTAAGATTATTAATGGTTAATCCATAAAATGATTAGATATGATCAGGTAGGTTTAGTGAGCAATATCACACAACTGAAATAGAGTCTAATGTTAGTTTTTGTGAACATTTTATCGATATTAAAACTTTGCAAGTGAAAAATTGTTGGACCGTCACTCAATAGTCAATATCAAAATATTGGGGAAAAAACTGTTGAAAAATCTTCTCAGTCCTTTAAGGAAAAAAAGAAAAAAAAAAAAAAAAAACCTTGTTTATGATGATTAGAACCTCTTGTTGATTGAGTAAATATTACTACTTGTTAAAATACTTGATACCAGTAAAATAAACAAATGACTATTTTTTAATTTGAAAACAAGAGAGCACTGTGTGGAGGAACAATGCCCGAGAAGGAACCCGAAGAAGAGGAAGAAGACCAGTTCAGTGTGGGTAATTAATTAAGCAATCACATCAAATATGTACAACATTGACCTTCAAATGTCTTTGGGCTCAGTTTAGGCTACAGACACAGTAATTGTAGTCAGAAAGGAAATGAAAAAAGGGCTCAAATTTCGGAAATGGTTGTATCACAGCCCAATTCACGGCCTACTTCTCTTGTCCACCTCATTTTCATCACTAGACTAGACCCCCTTGGCATCATATAATATAATACTATATATAGTACTACTGTTGTACATAGTACAGCTCTAATTTATTACTCTTACCTTCAATTTATAGCCAAAATGTAGTTTACAGGTAAAAAAAAAAAAAAGAAGAAAAGACACATCAAAGTTGCTGTGAAAGGAAAACAAGGGAAAGAAACATAGCAATTCAATATCATGTTTATGTAACTCCCTCCTGGATTATCATATTACTATAACGCATTGCATTCAGGGTAATTCTCATTCGATCGGATACACTAAATCCTTTCTATGTTGTTATGATATATTTTGATAAAACGAATAATCTCGATAATAATTATATAACCACAAGATCCATGCATGCATTCAAAGGACCCACCCAACCATGGCTCCAAATTAAGAATAAATGAATACAAATATGAAAAAGATGAGCAGATGGGGTGCACTAAAATATTGTCAGGGAATACAGCAAATTAAATGGAGGGACCAAAAGAAAGGATGAGAAAGAAGTGGCCAAATGGGAAAACAAAACCTAAAATTTGAAAAGCTCCAAAAAGGAGGACAACTTCCCACCCAACCCATAACCCTAAGTAGCCTTACGTGTTTGATTGAAATACCCACCAGGCGCCATGCAGAATTCCACCCCCCCTAAAAATAGCACATCAAACCAAAAAAATGTCACACCATTCATTTCTCTTTTGATTTTCAATTGTAGTTTTCCCTGCTTCAGCGGTTTGTTTCTTTTAAGGAAATCATCTCAGCTTTGCTGGAAAACTAGTCTGGATTACATTTCTCTTTTCTTCTTTTTTCTTATTACCATGTATCACACTCAGTCTAATTATCGTTCGACTCTTTGGGAATATAGATCTCCCAACAATTTTATATAGTATTATAAAGAATTATAAATTCGAAATTTAGTCAGGAGAGAAGAAACTTGTTACTTCTTGATTTCTGCAATTATTGGTAAATATCTTTCATGTCTCATCATTTTATGGTTCTACTGAAACAGAAAATTAATTTTGTCTAACAGCTTACAATATAATAATAAGTGATCAAAAAGATTTATAGCGTACGCGTGTGAGTTTCTCTTTTTTACTTCTTCTTTCCTGAATATTATTATAATGGTTCGTATGGTTTCCAAGATGGCCAGCAAAGCACAAGTCGTAAGACCAGCCCAAGGCCCACAAAATAATGAAAGTACACACGTCCACCTTCATACCGTATTGGGCCCCCTTATCAAGCCAAGAAGCCTGTCCAAATTCCAACTCTCCATTCTTCATAAATTTACCAACACTCCAAAACATGAGTCTCTACTATACACTCAATCCCTTTAGCTTTAAGCCAAAATAGTGGGAGGCGAAAAATAAACGGAAAAACAAAAATGCCAAAACCGAAGATGTCCCAAACAAACAAGAACATGAGCAGAAGAAGATTTGAAGATGAACAGATTAGATATCTGGAGAGGATGTTCGAGGCAGAGGCTCGGCCCGAGCTGCGTGTAAAGCAGCAGTTAGCTGACAAGCTAGGCTTGCTGCCTAAACAAGTTGCCATATGGTTTCAGAACAAGAGAGCTAGATCAAAATCAAAGGTTATTGAGCAAGAATACAGCCTTCTCAAGGCTAGTTTTGATGATCTGTCCTCCAAGTTTGAGGCCTTGAAGAGAGAAAACCACTCCCTACACATCCAGGTATAAACATATACACATTTAGTGTCTCTGTGTGTCCTTCTGTACTGTTTAGTCTCTAGTTTGGTTCCCAAAGAACTACACATTTCACAACAAACATAACAGTGAAGCATTTAAGCACTTATCCACTGTAGAGTCAAGTATGTGAATTATATCTTGCCTCGTGTGTCTGTTGATCCCTAGTTTTGTTTCTGTGATTACAATAACAACATGCTAATGAAATCTTACCTAACTTGAGTATTTGAATAAGATATCACCATCCTGTGCGTGTTGATACCTAATTTTTTCTACAACTTTCATTACAATAACTTTCAAAATCACGGTTAATCATTTTAAGCTGAGGTACCAATTAAAGAAACATTGCCATGACAAAACACAGGTTCAGAGACTAAGGCAGCTGAATAACACTGAACAGGAAGGATCAATCAAAGACATCAAGAAGTTAGTAACAACAGATGAGATGCTGCCAGGAAGCTTTGTTGTGCTGGAAAAAAGCACAACCAGCCACAATCTTTGCAAGACTCCGTCGACAACTGAAAATTCAGATGAAAAGTTTGATTACCTTGGAGAAGACAGTTGTGGTCTTCATGCCACACAACCAATGGATGGTTGTTACTACACAGGGGCTGACGACGACAGCTGTAGTTTCCAGACTGATGATCTTCTTGAACATCAAAATTGCAACTTGATGTGGTGGGAGTGGCAAAAATGTGAAAACAATTCTTGAACAAACCTTGTTAGAAAGAAAACAGCAAAGAAACAAATGATCAAAATGACTGCCACTTGTAAGCAAGACCACAGACTTCAGCAATGGCACCAGGCTTAGGACAAGGCTCAAACTTTCCAGGAACAGAAAATTTCTATGACAAGCCGCAAGCCTATGGTGTGCCCATAGCAACCCTAGGAAAAGAGACATCCCAAGTAGCAAAAGACAGATCTAGGTGCATGTAATAGCACAGGACATCAATAGGCCTCACATGTAATCCACTGCCAGAATAGGCCAGCAAACAATACACAAAAGAAACAAGTAGAAAATAAACATGAACATGGGTAAGTGTACGTGTATCATAACTTTGGGGAGTTGCAAAGAGTGGGATTTGTGAATTTGAAACTGCAAAAGGGTTCTGGAATCCTATCAAACATACAGAGAATGAATGTTCACCTGCACAATATCCTAAATTAACAACTTTTTGTGGTAAAAAACAATTCAACTGCTAAATGTTAATTTGCCCAAAGCAAGAATAACGAAATCAAAGGCATGGTTATCAATATTTTGCCACCAGAGCAGAGCAACTATATATGTCAGACTATGGTTTACAAAAGCACTAGAATAAATTAGCAAAGGCATCCCGAAACTTAATTTGATTAAACTTACATTCACATATCTAGGGTTTAAATTGATTAGAAGGAAACAATATCATTACGCAGTCCAATCTATTCACAAGACTATCTCTTACAGGGACTATTACATTTCAAAACTTATTATCAGCTGCTGATCTTAGATTTCACTCTTAACCTTGACATCTCCATTAGGTAGCATACTTTGTGCCTGCCCAAAGCGTTTAGCTTCCTGCAATACATACAAAGAACCAGAATGCAAAAGGTAAGTACAACTAGCATGACAGGGGCTCAGGATGAGAAGTGTTGTAAAGCAAGAAAGAAGTTAATAAAGATTAATCTGATAAAAGCAAAGTCATGTCCATTGAGCTGCATTCTACCTAGATCGTAAGCTGGGTGAATATCTCTTAAGAACATAACAAAACAAACAAAATCCAAATTTAATTCTAGAGGGGCATCCCAAGTAATTGGTAACTTACAGATGAGGAGCTCGCACGTATCTCCCTATATGCTTCCACCTCATCGGGGAATGCCTGATCAAGTTCCTCTAGTAGGCTCTTACGCAAAACCTGCAATAAAAATAGGCACAAAAGAGAACATGAAGGTGTCAAGTTAGTTCACATGGTTGTGTAGTCGACAATGAGAGTAGAAATAGGCAAAAGAAGTAATAAACTAATCAAAAACCCGAAAGCGAGAACAAAGAATAATTCCTGAGTAAAAATGCAGCAATAAGAGAAATTTATCCTGGGGGCGCGGGGGTGGTTGTCTCTTGGAAATCAGTATGCACCAAGCTAAAAGAATGAACTTTTTCAGCTGAAATCCATCAAGCGCATACAATTCATGAATTATACTAGGATAAACATGGAAAGTTTTTAAGGATGTAAAAAAAAAATCCAACCTTGAAGGCGTCAGTTTTTCCTTTGGTGATCTGATTTTTGGCAATGCAATTATTCAGAACATCTCTAGTGAACTCATCCGGGTTCTTCCCCTCATCAATCAAGCTGCAAAACAACATAAACCAATCCAATCAATTGTCTTAAACTTTTAAGTGTATATTCAGAAACACCATATAAAAAAATAAAAATAAATAAATAAAAACTAATCTTTGAGCTCATTAAAATTGGGGGAAAAAAAGAAGTAAGAGGGAAAAAACCCACTTGAGAACCTCCACGGGCACCTGAATATTGCACTTCTCAGCTAATTTTGACATATTATCGAGCTCCAAAACCAAGTTGTTCCTACAAAGCACCAAAATAGATTAAAAAAAGAAAAACAAAACAATCAAAATTGGATAGAAGGAATATAGTTAGGTTAATTACAGGCGTTGGAGGAGGGGGAGCTGGGAGGCGACGTTGAAGGAAGAAACGGTGAGGTAGAGCTGATGGAGGATTCCTAGGGTTTTCTGAATTGAATTAGTAACTTGATTGAGGTTGTGCTTTGAATCGTCGACCGCGGTGGCGGCGGTGGAATCAACGGGGGAAGCATCGTTAGAGTGTGGGGGAACGATCATGCCGTTTCCTCCACCGCTGCCAGGGGTTCCGGCGGTGTTCTGTGAAGACTCCATTGCTTCTGCTGCCCGGTCCGGATTTGTCGATCAGAGATCGTTTAAATTAGGAAAATTGGATTAGAGGGAGGCAAGTTTTTCTATTGACTTTGATGCTCAATTTATATACACAATAGTACTACCTCCATTCCTAGTAATTAGAGGCTTTGCATATGGGTTTTTTCTATTTCCTTTTTATATTTGGTTTTACATTTTTAAGAAAGAATTAAATAAATTTTTTAGAGTTTTATCCTAACTAAATCAGAATTTAAGATAAACCAATATCATTAATGTATTACTCCCTCCGTTCTAAAATAATTGTCATTCTAGAGTTTACACATAGTTTAAGAAAACATTAAATAGGGTAACTAAATTACTAGAATATCTTCAACCAACCCCATTAAAATAAATGCTACCAATAATATTATTTCTTTTGAGGGTATGTTTGGAAATTTTTGACAAAAAATGCATTGGAATCCGAAAACAACACTTATTTTGAAATTTTTCCATTTTGTTAAAACGATACTTATTTTGGAATGGAGGGAGTAGTAAATTCATAATATATTTGAGACGAATAATTAAAATTAATTAATTTTATTGGTGTGTATAAAATTACTAATCGGCATCTCATACAGAAAATGAATGAAAGTTATAGTAGTAATCCTTTATTCGTTTTCTTTATTATTTTGGTTAACAAATTTCTTTGTATTTCATAAATTTCCCCAAAACTGGTTGCGTCAACTCAAATAACATTTTTACACAGCTTATATTTCTTTTCTTATATTTTTTGAAAGTGATTTGGTTCCACTACAAATTATGGAAATCGTGGTGAAAATTGGGCAAATATATTCCCTATGTTCAAAAAATTATTGTCCAATTTGAATTTTCACTTTTATTTCAATTTGTATTAAAAAAGAAAATTGAAATTAGACCGTAATTTTAGAGTAGAAGGAACATATTTCTTACTCCCCCTATCCTTTTTTATTTATCCTAAATTTCACACTTTTAAAACATATACTTACATTCATTGCCTTGTAATAAGGACCAGAGGGAGTATTTCCCAGTAACATGGATGTTCAGAAACCTCTTTACCCAAACTTTTAAATCAGGAAAATTCCTTATTGAAACTCAAGTCCGGTGACATTTAAAGAATGACTCCTACAGAATGCACAAAGTATGAAATCTTGTAGGTCAAAAAATTCGATCAGCCATCTAAACATTTCCGTCCTAAACACAAAAGAGCTTAGGTTCTGGATAGATTGGGTCATCGGATGAAGGAATCAATGGCAAATGAATTGACTGAAAGTAAGTTTTTATGAGACCGATCCCCTGAGCAGCCAACGACTCAAGGTTAGATAAGCCGGATTGGACATGCTCTGTCCATTCCCAGTCTGGCAATTCAAGTAAACTTATTACCAGTTTAGACTTCAATGAAAAACCATGCACATAATACATGATCAACTCAAGTTACCATCCAAAATTGCAGTATACAAAATTGCAGAAATAGCTAAAATTTATAATCCATTCACCAAGCATTGAAGGAGGTCCATAACAGTTAACATAACAGGATTTAATGAAAAGGTGTTTCAGAGTGTTTCTATCAGAACACAAAAACAAAAACATAACTGCTGCAAGCTTCATAAGTCCTACTACAAGCCCCACGGATATTCCAAGCAGTATTAATCTACTTGATCTTCTTCTTTGGCCTCAACTGCAACCAAAACAGCAACATTTGAGAAGTCAGTCACCTTGAAACAATGTTGGCATATGGGTTCAAGTGGGATCAAGTCAGAAAAAGATACAAACCTGGTTGCTGTGTCCACACTTCTTCTTCCTGCAGTTGACGGCACGAGGGTGTAGACGAGCATAACACCTAAAACAAGATTCCAAAACCACAATCAATACCAAGTATCCCACTAATCAAAGAAAACACATGAAAGCATTCATAGTATCTCAGCAATTGTACATTTAAATCACAGAGTAAATATTATCCAGGTGGGTTGAGTATGAAGCACCCACCAAACAAAACACAAAGTGATCAAAGCATTTGTCAAGAGTAAACATAATCTACAACAGTGGAGAGAATTGTAAAGTAATTCAGTTCAATCAGCGCACCAATATTGCAAAAAGCAGTAATATATGCCGGATGTTAACACTGAATATGAAATAAACCCTACAAAGTACACAACCAACAACAAATGAAACTACATATTTACATGGTATGTGCAATATGACAACTTCAATGTTTTGGTGGAAAATTCAATGCCAAGCAAAATTAACTGAAACAGAACAATCCAAAGATTGAATGAACATCTTGTGAACCAATTTTATACCGCAAATATTGTAAGATCACAGTGTCCACTAAAGGCACCTGAGTTTCAAGCTGCACATAAAATAATAACAGCATACACTAGACTGCTACAAAATGTCAAACACCAACCATTTTCGGAATCAACAGATTAAAAAGCACACAAACATTAAGCTAACAAGAGTAATTCTCCCAAAAACAAATGATACTTGACAACACAAATCATATCCAACACCTAACAAAAGAAAAATAAACCCAAATGCTTCGTTGCAGGCAATCCATAAGTAATCATTAAACAAATATTGAACCATAAAACAGTAAAAGGAGAAGGAACATACTTGCGGCAGATCATCTTGTCCTGGTTGTACTTTCTAGCCAAAGCCATCAAAGAAGGCTCAATAATACCACCTCTAAGCCTGAGCACCAGATGCAGTGTCGACTCTGCAATCATAAAAATCCCAATTTAATTCAGTTCCGAAAACGAATTCCAATATTTCAACAAATCTAAACCCTAAAAACCAGCCAAAATAAGGAAAAAGGCTTAAACCTTTCTGAATGTTATAGTCAGCGAGAGTACGGCCATCCTCCAACTGCTTTCCGGCAAAGATCAGCCTCTGCTGGTCCGGCGGAATCCCTAAAATCCACAATCAAAAGGAAAACAAGTATCAACAAAAACATTTCAATCATTTTCCGAAAACATAACCTTCAAAAGAAATACGGAGAATACAGCTTTCGAAAGAAATACCTTCTTTGTCTTGGATTTTGGCCTTGACATTGTCGATGGTGTCTGAGGACTCAACCTCAAGGGTGATGGTTTTGCCGGTGAGGGTTTTCACGAATATCTGCATCTTTGCTTTCCTGCTTCTGCTTCCTCGCCCTCCTTGCCAAACTTCTCGACTCTGATATATCCTTAGGGTTGCCGATGCTATATATATTGTCTAGGGTTTAGCTAAACGGGCCAGTACCAACCAATTCTTCTCCCTGTCCGTTTAGAGCACTTAGCCCATTATGACTTGGTGACTTAATGTTAATATGGACCTTATGAATTTTGGGCCGCAAAAATTTGTGAAGGCTGCCAATGTTCCTAGTCCTCGATCAGTTTGTAAATTACTACTATACCTTTAACAGCATTCAGCCATTTTTAGAACATATTAAGAAATGACCCAAAAGAAATAATAATAATAATAATAATAATAATGTCTACACTACACATATAACTCTGCGTGATTTTGTATCCCTTTGGCATCACCCAATTGTTACACGTTCCCATTTATTTTTATGATAATTTGATAAATTTAGAATTTTTGAGTTCTCCAGCTAACTACACTAAAGGTATAGTTGTGTTTCTTACAACATTTTTGAAGGTTAGTAATTTTTTTGGGGGAAAAATAAACAAAAAGGGAGAAGAATCATCACATCAACTCGAACAAAGGGTGTGAGCACACATGCAGATCTTTCAGTTTCATATAATCCTAGTGTTATTATTAAGAAAATGGTCAGTTATGTTATCTTCCAAATGGACCAATGGCGCAGAACTAATCGTTAAAGCCCAATTTCCATTTCATACTAACCCACTCAATCTTGTTTGCTGGACAGCTGGTTGGGCTAGCTGGTCGACCTATTCTGGCTTCTCGTTTCATTTTAGCCAAGTTCCTTTTCGGTAACTTATGGAAAATGTCGCAAGTCAACCATATGAATGATTAAAAATACTATTATGTAATCGAGATGAAGATCGTACAAATATTAAAATAAAAATATTATGTAAACTCCAAAATAAATAAGAAAAAAATAATAAGAGAGTTCATGTTCACTTCATGTCTTTACTATATTAGAAACAAAAACCACATTTTAGAGAAAGCACCACCATTTGCCATGTGGCATTTCCACATCATATTTTTAAAATAAATTTTTATTTACACATCTCCTAGACTTAAAAGGCAAATGCAGTCCAAGTCCACCTTCACCTCCTATTTTCGCCAAAAAAAAAAAATCACGTATTCATAAAAAACCCAAATCCTCATCCCCATCTCCACGACAATCGACTTCCTAATCAAACCCTTCTCCACAATTAAAAAAAAAAACAAATTTCTCATCAATCATCAATTGAGAATATGTGGTGAAATATACTCCTTTTCTATTAGCATGTTAAATTTTTTTCATTGGTGACGATCAACTACATTCTAATCTGATAAAATTTCGAGTTCAAAAAATATTCTCTTTACCTCACTATATAAAACAAAGGAAAAAAAAATTCTCATTGATCTTGCTTCGGCCATTATGGTGGTGCCATTACAGGTATTAAAATTTAAATGATTTTATTTCAGCAGATCATTTGTTTGGCTTTTATTATTTTTTGTTTTTCCCGTTCAAGAATAGTGTTATTACTATTATTTTTATGCGTTCATCCGTTACAGCTACCGTAATATGATGTGATTTCTTATATGGTTAGTTAGCCTATAATTTTTGTATGATGTTAGTTCTGTTTGTATTGAATTGATTAATTGGGTTTTTGTTACAAAGTGTGGTTTTTTAAATTTGTTTTTTATGTTTCATTCAATTAGACTGATTTTCTTTTTTTTAATTATGGAGTCTCATGTTTTTTTTCGTATATGGTCAGTTATGAAGTGTGTTTTTTCTTTGTTTAATTACTTTTGATTTTGTTTCATACTCCCAATTGACCAATTATTATTATTTTATTTTATTTACAACTAAAATGCTTTTTTTTGTGTTCGGTCTTTCAAGAATATACTTTTTTTTGGATTTGGTTTTTGGACTTTTTTTAGTTCCTTATCATATAAATAGTTCAGGGCGCTTCTTCTAACTAATTTATGGGGAAGCTTTTTATGAATTTGAGGTGGAGAGGAAAGGAATGATTTTTCTACGTTTATTTGTGATTTTATACATCATTTTTACTTACAGAAAAAAATAAATTTCTGAATTTTTAATGGACTATCTTTTACTCTCTTTTTTTAATTTGCCATGGTGAGGTGAGTCGTTTTTTACTATAACTTGAAACCTATGTAAATTTACATTATTTTTATTCTCATATTTGTGATCAACCGGTTTCAACAATTAACCAGTTTCAAAATCATATTTTTTATATTTTACTACCTATAAACTTTTGAAAGAAATAGTTTCAACAATTAAGCGTATACCCTTTGGAGGAAGCTTACTACAAAGCTATTATAAATCTCCAAAACTAAGTATTGATTTGGCACAACCAGTGGAGAACATCAATAAATTATCTTACTAATATTTAAACTTATGAGGATGCTTTTATATTTTGTCTTGCATTTACTTCAAGACATATATTTGATCAAGTTTATTTATATTTAAGAAGTAACACTTATAAAATATTTTTAAAATCTTCAAACATTTCTAAAACGTACCAAGCCAAATACAATTTCTTTTTATGCCAAATACGAACATTTCTGTGATCACACTTATAAAATATTTCTAAATTCTTCAAACATTTCTAAAATATATCGAAGCAAATAAAAATTAGATTTTTTTTCAGATACAAATATTTCTAAAATCTACAGATATATTGGGTCAGGGTCGCGCATTGCGCGACCAGACATCACTAGTTTTTGATATGAGCGATTAATTCCCACTAGGCCACACCAAATAAAATAAATACTAATAAAATTATCATTTTAGATTATTGAATACTCGCGCTATTTTAGAAAAATAATATATATATATATCAAAATTTATTACAATAATGAGTTGTTGGGAGACAGAGTACTAATTATGTCCAAACAACTATAAAAAACAAAAACAAAAACATTTTTTCGTTATATGAAGTATGCTAAAATGAAATGAGATGCTTGTGTGAAGTGGAACAACAAAGGAGAGAATATGAAACGAAAAACTATAGAAAAAAAATACTCCTTCCGGTCCTTAATATAAGGTATTTTGATTTATTTTAGTTTTATTTAATACGTATATTTAATTGACAAAAAAAATTTTAAAAATACATTTTCACATTCGTTGTGTCCTTTTGATTGTTGAAAAATATTTTCAAGGTTTTTTCGTCAATATAAAATATATACTAGGTGAAACCTAAGATAAATAAAAATATCTTATATTAAGGACCGGTAGGAGTAAATAAATAAATAATTAACGGATTAGGTACGTAAGGAAAAAATGGACCACTCTATATAATCGCACGGGAGAGAAGAACAGAAGAGACATATAAATCAAAGCTCAATGAATTGATGCATATTGACGCAAGACTGCATCCAACCGCGTATGATAGGCTAATGATTGATTCAGGGCGCACTTTTTAGTTGGAGTGGTGATGGATCATTAAACCCTGATTGGTTCTTTGCCTGTTTGCGGAAAAATAATAATAATAATCTGATCAAAAAGCCTAACTTGTTGGGGGTATCGGATTAATGTAGGACGAAAGTGAGCATATTTAGTTATGAATAATGAAATAGTCGGCGTAATTAATGAAATATACTAATACAACTAGCTTGTTTGTGCGAAACTAATCCCAATCTAATCTTTTCTCCACTTCTGTACGTGCCCAATCATCAGAAAAAGGGATCATCGATAAAAGGTTGATTCCTCGAGCATCATCTTCCTTCACTCCGAGTGCTGAAATATTTATCTAATGCAACTTATTACACCCTCTCTCTCAAAAAAATTATCCACTTTGAATTTTGAAATTTATACTAAAAACAGTATAAATCTGAAAATTAAATGTGAATTATTTTTTTGGGAACGGAGTTTGTTAAATGAATGAAAGAAAGAAAATGACCTCATGTTCCCTTGTCCTACATGGATGGACGGAAACACTTGAACCCAACATATATACCGAATGTGCTACTCTCCTCATCACCAATTGGTTTTGAGGTAGAACCACATGTGGGCTTATATTTGGACATTCAAGAGAGTTAGTATATGTTTATTATGTCCTCCTCCACTGTACACGCACTCAAAGTCATAGATAGAAACACACATGAAATCGATTACCTCATTTCTTTGGACCAATTAAGTTGGCTAAAAAATGCCCAACGTAAGATATATAATCATACGATTATGTATCAAATCATTGGTTACGATTGGAATGATTGTGTATCTATTAGGCTGCTTTGTATAAGGGATCAATGCTTACAAATTTGATATAGAGTTCGCCATTTTTCTTTTAAAAATAGGGGAAAAGAGGAGAATTAATCAATTGATTCATGGTTGTCTTTTCTAATATTGCATTGATATGTTAGGTAGTTCGTTAGTTTTAGTTGTTGGGTGGTGGTATTAGGTACTGATAGTACAGTTTTCTTTCTATATTTTGTGAGGTTATATAGAATATAATGATAAAGTTAGAAGAAGAAACTAATCAACTTGTAATTTCTGATTACTTATTTTTTCGTTAACAAAAAGTTCATAGATACAGATATAATAAACCCAAGTTTAGGAGGTATGATATATGTCTTCATACGAAACACGGGTTCCTTAAATCATTTGGGGCTCCCACGTACATAAAGTATAGCTAGCTAGCTAGCTAGTGCCAATCATTGAAATCTATATAATATATATCGGTACAATCTTTTTCTTTTTTTCTTCTCTTCTTTAAATAAGATTTACATATAGATCATTGTGGTTGTATTTGTCCAAAATGAAGCTTCTAGTTTAGTGGTGTAACTAATGGTACAAGATCAGTTACTCCTTGATAGATTGAGGTGTACTCCGAAGATAATAGTGGTGGGTCAATGAAATATTGAAGAAAAAAAATTACTCCTTCTGTTTCAAAATTATTATCCAGTTTCGATTTTTTAGTTTTAATTCAAATTATACTAAAAGTGAAAATCCAAACTGGACAATAATTATAAGACAGAGAAAGTATATGACAACCAATATACATATATATATATATAATCATTTACGATTATAGTAACATCAATTAGAATGATCAGCTGGCTAACAGGAACTATCATCACAACCGAAATGAAATTTATATACATATGTGCCGTACCATATCATGATATTCTAACTGGTTGTGCATATGAATTAGTCCTTCACCATGTTTAATAAATTAGGATTGGTTTTAACTTAACTTTTAAAAATTGAAGAATATAATGCACAACCGTATTACCGTAAAATAAACCCTACACATTTTATCGTTTTTAAAAAATAAAATTGGAAGAGTTATAATTTTTTACAGAGGTTTCTTGCATGCCTTCTAATGCAAGTCAAAGTTGGAGGGAATCATGAACCACCTAGCCAGTCTACATAGTAGTAGTATTGCAGAAGAGCCTTCTCTTGTACTCTGTCAAATTCTTCCGGCACATGACTGTAGTAAAATCGTATTCCTTCTGTCCCAAAATTATTGTTCAATTTCACTTTTAGTATAATTGGTACTAGAAATGAAAACTCAAAGTGAACAATAATTATGAAACGAGGGGAGTATGATTTATTTGTAAATATGCATACGTGAAAATTCAATCATTATATGAATATGAAGTAGAAGAATTTGACGTGATACTTTTGCCAAAATTCTCTTAAAAGAATATATTCATTGCCTTCAATTTTTGAGCTCCATAAGTTTCCAGAGCCTACCATCGTCACAAAACTCAATCACACCTTCTCGTACAAATTTCAAAAATTAATATGAATTTTTTTTTTTTTGGACGGACGGAATATAATTTACATTGATCTTCTGTACGGGTTCACATTGTGATCGATATGATGGACCCTTATGCATGCCATAAAATTTCGAATGCGGATCTAGAGAGTTTATAGTTCTATCATCTATATATGTCCAATTAAGTGAGGATTAAGAAGGAGAATTGTGTTATGTATGTTGGCAACCAACATAAAGCTTTGTGATTCTTATAAATATAGATCATGTACCAGATCGTGTTGTTTTGATGTATAAAGGCTGAATACTGATGAAATGTGGTATGTATGTCCACGTTTGGTTTATTTGCGAAGATTTTTGTTGGTTTGAACAAAAGAGAGAAAGAAAAGAGGTACGACTGGGATATGCTATGATGGTGGTGCAAATAAAAAAGTACAGAAAAGAAGGATATTTCTTAAAGAAAAATTAGTTAGGTTTGGGGGCATGGGCGAACATTTTCGAATACTACAAATTAGTCATTGTTTGAATATGAATTAATCATTGATGATGCAACTTTGTTTGATTAGGGTCCTCCCAATTTAAGGTACTAAACTAGGTTTTGCATCGAGCATTTCACTGTTTGGGAATCCAAGTCCAAAGGTCAAAATGAGTTCGATTGATACTTCCCCCCCATGTGCTATTCCAAAATAGAATAATTGGTATAGGATATTGATCAATTATACTTTCAAACCTCCCTAGCTAGCTGCAAAATGAACAAAATCTGGAACTTCAATGTATATTAATTATGTTCCTAGATGCTTTTCTTTGTATCCTTCTAATCATATTTCTTTGACCAATTCAGCTCTTGACCTCGTTCTTAATCATTTCTAATATTTGCTTTCATTTCTCCTCCATTCTCTGAAATATTATAGTGTAAATGACATGAATAGGCCCCCCATTTTAATGCCTTGATTCGCTTTAGTCCTTGATAACTTTTATTTCATAAACAATATATGTTTTTCATTTCTCCTCCATTCTATGCATGTTTTTTTTCCCCAATCTTTTTTTTTTTTAATTTCATATGATCTCCAGTTACTATCGACTTAGAGCAACTGCAAATTAATTCAAGAGCACTGTAGGCCACACTGGCAGTACTTGATGGACTACAATTACAAAATTAATGGACTGAATCGAATGAAAACGTCAAACTAAAGTATCATTAGTAACAATTACCAATTTTAGTTCTTTTGTTCTTTAGTACTCTAACCCAACAGAACAGGAAATCAGACAGAATCAAAGATCTTCTTTAGAGGAGAGGAACCAATTTTCTTACCTAGATATACGAACCAATCAATATGTTTTTATTTCTAAACTTTTAATTAATTGCCACATTCTCTGCACAAAAAGAGAAAAGGGTATATAGCTGAAAAATGCAATGTATAGTCAACAAGTAGCAGCTATGCTAATAATTTGTCATGCATGCATAACCCTATTTAAACATAGCGGACTTGACCAAATACGTTGAGGATCGACACAAGTAGGCGAAGATTAAAATACAATTTTGAATGGAAGTGTGGTTAAGACTGACCAAATCAAGGTTTCAAAAAGATGATGAAAAAAATAATAATAATAAAGGCGAAAAAACCTGATCTAATCAATGACCACATACGATTTTCCTTTTTTCCTTCAACCATTTGATCAACTAAATTAATGATATCGTATCATTGTCAATAATTAAGAGAAAAGTTATTCATTTCATTTATTTTCTTAAATAAAAATAATAATTTAGAAAGTGAAATGGGAGGAGGGTCCATGAAGGATGAGCACGGGAGCTGGAGAAGTGCTCCAAAAAGCTAATTTTAGTGACTTCTTTTTCCTTTTTATTATGCAACTTTTTCGCCTATAAAAGTAATTTACAAAAGAGGAGAAGGAGGAAAAAAAAAAGAAAAAAAAAGGTCCTACCCACCATTTTCTTCCTTTTGGCTAAACTCACAAAGGACAACGTCAAACGTGACATTAACTAATCAATATTTCCCCTAACTTTTTCCCTGCTATTTAGGTTTTATCATGTAGGATCATCAGGAAATAGCTTCGCTTTAGCACACTGATTTGGCTATTATGTGAATCATTAGATTAAAGTCACCATATTTGGACTGTAGCTGCAGGGATTACTAGATTTCTAATTTAATCAATTGATTTTTTTTTTTTTTGTAACAGTGAGATTCTCGAGTGGAAAAAGCAATTTGTTGATTAATTAAATGTCAAGTTTGGATTGGTGAGAAAGCTATGCCTGCGTTGAAAAATTCATCTTCTAATATTTCAAAGGGAGGTTGGAGTGGTTGATGAATTCGTATTTGTCTAATATATATTTCTTCTAGTTATGCTTAGAATGCTTAAAGTTTAAATGAAATGTAGAAAAATAACCTGCAAAGCAAATTCGTATAGATAAAGAGAAAAATACTCATACAAGCAGCAAATAAAACAAACTGGAGCTTCATAATTGGCGTTCATGTGTGCATAATATATGATATGATTTAAATGATGAGGAAGTAAGGTGTATGAATTGACAAGTGGGATTTGAGATGCAAATGCTAATAATTCAGTTGCATGTGTGCAAAACCATCAATCAGAGATGAAAGTGATAATGATACTAGGTTAGTATTTATACTACTACTATTATTAGTTTGTTTTTTCTTAACATATTATTGGGTCTAAATTTCTAGGTAACTTTGATAGTTCGTGATACAATTAATCAAATATATACACATTACACGAGAATCAACCATAACATTTTTTTTGTGATGCCTGATACGAAGGTTATCGGTAAATTGTAATTTTTCAAATATGTGTTAAGATTCGTCGCGTAAAACTAGTGCTGGTAATATTGAAGACGAAATGAAAATTATTATCCCCTTAATTAATCTACGTGAACGGGGAGCATGACCAATTGACATTCGACACCCTAGCTAGGTGAGGGAATGAAAAAAATAATAATTGACTAGTGTTAAAAATTGTTATCCCATTGGAGTAATTATTTTAATTAGGGAAAAAAAAATAAAAGGAAGGAAGAAGAAGTAAGGGAAAAATCGAGGCCGTAGATTTGACTCATCCATCCCACATCCCTCCTCACTCACGTGCGATTCTCTATTTCTCTTCGACGATGTAATTGAATTCATCATTTTTGGGAACAAAATTTCACTAAAATGAATAAAATATTGATTCCACCCACCCCCTCGACACCTGTGCCACCTTCTTCAGAAAGAAACCTCTTTTATCCCCTCCATTTTTTTTTTATTTTATTTAATGGTTAATAAAAATGGGGGTTGATGCCAGTTTTACTTAAATCGCCGACCGTATTCTGGTAAGTAATTAATATCAATGTCAACGTATTCTCCTGCAAAAACTGCTACTATCTATATTGTGTTGTTTGACTTTATTCTCTCAAGCACCTATGTATGTTAAAGCCATTGTGTTTTGTGTCATTGATCCTTGCTAATTACACTGATTTTCCACTTTGATAATCTCGTAAAAAAGAAAGAAATCCTAAACGTGTTTGTTGTATTGACTCCAGACCAACTGTCCTCAACACGCTAGATGACGAAGTGGTTCATCGGAAAAAACCCTAGTTAAGAATGTGACACTATATCCAATAATTATAAGTAGTTTCGTCAATACATAACGAGTATGTTACTGATTGAGAGAACCAAAATTTAATATCAAAAAAAAAAAAAAAAAAGAAAGAAAGAAAAGGAAAGAAGGTACATAAAAGTTTTGTTTTAGACCATGACTTTCAGAGTAAACAAACTTTTGTTGATTTCCGCCCAAATCATAGAAAAGAAGGAGGGAAATGTAATTAGTGACAAGGAAGCAATACGCGCCCAATGATTCTCCCACCCCTCCCTGTCATGATTACAAAGTGATTCCCCTAATTGATTGATATTTTAAACTAATTTAATCATTTAATTAATGTAATTCACTAAATAATACTCTAATATCCATCCCATTCCCATTCCCTTATAAAAATCACACCCCTCCTTTTCCCTCTCTTTAGTTGTCCATCATCAAACTCCAAATTTTCTTCTCTCCTATTTCCTTACCTTCCTTCCACTCATATCATCATCATCATCATCATCAATAGTTACATCCATCCAAATTCTTGTCCCCAATCTCCTCATCTTCATCTTCTTGTTCTTTCTCAACTCTTTTATTGAATTTTGTCTTCTGATCAGAAATTAATTTCAACTGCACTTGGCTACTATAGTAGTGCCTACCTACATAGCTAGCTGTGTAGAGTCAGCTATCAAGCTCTTCATACACCCCACACTCTCTCCTTAATTCTCTCCATCCAATTTGCATTTCAAGAAACTATTACAGAATTAAAAGTGGATGCTGTGTTGTTGCTGTTGTACCATTATTAATTATATAATTCATTCATTCTCATTCCCATTTTCCCCACCCAATTTTACCATCCATTTATTCCCCTCATCTTTCTTTATATACGTGGGCAGGTAAATAAGTAAAAAACACCACCTTTCTTTGTTCCTTTCCTTATAATCCTCCATTCATACAACAAAAAGAAAGAAAAAAGAAAGACCAAAATAATAAACAAACAATGCTGGAGACGGTGAAGTACTTGCTTGGGTCGGCTGGTCCGAGTGGATACGGGTCGAAGTCGACGGCGGAGCAAGTGACTCAGGGCTTTTCTGGTGGTCATCATCTCCGGTCGATGACGGCGATCATCACCGGTGCAACGTCAGGGATCGGGGCGGAAACGGCTAGGGTGCTGGCCAAGCGGGGAGTCCGGCTGATACTTCCGGCCAGGAGTATCAAAGCCGCGGAGGACACAAAGGCGAGGATACTGTCGGAGTTCCCGGAGTCGGAGATCATAGTGATGCATCTGGATCTTAGTTCCATGTTCTCCGTCAGGAAATTCGTTGCTCAGTTCCTCTCTCTTGGTTTGCCTCTCCATCTCCTCATGTGAGTAATGCTACTATCTTATCATCAACTTACGTTTTTTTTTTTTTTTTTGGGTAAAAAAAAAACATCTCTCCTAAATAATTCTACACTTGTATGCATAAGAATAGCGACTTTGATAAAAATAAAGAACAAAATGGAATGTGGCCTGAGAGATGAATATTCTCTTTAACTAGGCTGGTTTTGCAGTTATTCCATCATTTTTTTTTTTGTTTTAAAAAACTCTAATCATAATTATATGATGAGGATAATTTAATCCACTTTAATCAGGAGAATATGTTTAGGAATTTGCCAGTACGTACATGCATGGTTTGTTTTAGTTTTTATATGTTTTTTCTCTTTTTTTTTTTTCTTATAGAATATTTGCTATTTTTTGTTTCTTGGTTTGACTAATTATCTTAACTACTAATAACAGAAACAACGCCGGAAAATTCACCCACGAGCATGCCATTTCTGAGGACGGAATCGAGATGACTTTCGCCACCAACTACTTAGGTGAATGTTGTTCGTTAGTAATTTTTTTTTTCCGACCCAAAAATAATTTTTTTGTTAGTCGTATTTTTAATACGTAAGTACTTAACCTTTCAACAGGTCATTTTCTGTTGACAAAGCTGTTGATAAAGAAGATGGCGGAGACAGCGGAGCTAAGTGGAATTCAAGGAAGAATAGTGAATGTTTCATCCAGCATCCACAGCTGGTTTTCCGGCGACCTCATCGGATACCTCCGCTCCATTACCAAAAGTCGAAGGTTAGACTTTAATTAATTTTTACCTCTGAATATGTATGTGTGTATTGAGTATGACACCTTCTTCAAAACTCTGATCCCTCACTGCCAGTTGAATTTAATGCAAACTGCAGAAAGAAACCCATAGCTTTAAATTAAACAAATTAACTCTGCTCTTATCCTTTCTTTGCAAAAATTACGAATATTTAGGAAATTTGTTGACCCAAAAAATGATGGATATATACTTTGTTGATCCCTCTTTATTTGGACGTGTATTCATTTGATTTTGTAATCCATGCAATAATAGTACTACCTCCGTTCTAAAAAAAATAGTCCACATTGAGTTTTTAAATTTGTACTGTGAAAACAGTATAAGACTTAAAACTCAATCTGGACTATTTTCGTGGGACGGAAGGAGTATTACTTATAGTTAGATGGGTATTTTTTGATTATTATCCTGAAGAAGATATGAAGCAAGATTTAATGAATTTGGATGGTTGTGGACAGTGACTACGATGCAACACGTGCGTATGCACTCTCAAAGCTCGCCAACGTTCTGCATACCAAGGAACTTGCTCTCAAACTCAAGGTAATTTATTTCTCCTTCCATCCATATCTATATGTCAAAATCTTCATCATAAGGTTTCCCTTTAGCAAGTCAAATTTTAATATTCAGCTAATATTGTTGCCTTTCAAAATTTCCCTTTTGGATCGTATTAGCTAAATCACATACAAATAGTTCTCCTTCTTTTTTTTTTTTTTAAAAAAAAATGTCCCGTCACATGGTTGATGGTTCCATTGCAAAATGAAATTCTCATGAATTTGGTAGGAATTGGAGGGGATGGTAAAAAGTGGATTTTGTTGGTGTTGGGTGATGTATTAAATGAGCTGAAATGAAGATCAGGAATTGAAGCATGCTAGGGCCTATAGGCTAGCTAGATAGTAGTAGGTTGTTCTTTGATTGTTTTCTCTACTTTGGTATACTAGTAAAGTAACACAACACAGGGAGGAGTACAAAAGGAATTTTAATAGAAAGCAAATATTTTTTGGTTTGTTTGTTGTTGACAATTGACAATTGGTATAAGGTGAAATTTTTTGGTAGCAGGAAATGGAGGCAAATGTGACTGTGAATTGTGTACATCCAGGAATTGTGCGAACTAGGCTCACTAGAGAACGAGAAGGCCTCGTTACTGGTCAGTAATATTTACCATTATTTCTGCTACTTTTTATAAGTACAAAACATTAATTTTTCTTGTCCCCCTTCCCCGGAAGCAACGACTGATTTGATTATCGTCACTATTGTTTTTATTTTATGCACTTTTTTTTGTTTTTGTTTTTTTTTTGGTTTCTGTTGTCTTGTCTTTTTAATTTGTTTTTAAATATATTGAAATGCATGGTGTAAATTTGGACGCAGATCTGGTGTTCTTTTTGGCTTCCAAGCTTCTGAAAACCATCCCTCAGGCAGCTGCAACCACCTGCTATGTGGCTACGAACCCTCGATTGGGAAATGTGAGCGGCAAGTATTTTGCTGACTGCAATGAAGCTCCTGCTTCTAAACTGGCGTCCAGTTCCCATGAAGCTTCAAGACTTTGGTCTGCTTCTGAATTCGTGGTCTCTGTCGACCCGACCCGCTCAAACCCTCCTCCTTTTTGATCCATATATATATATATATATATATATATATATATATATATCCTCAAGCTAGGTGAACTATTATTTAGCGGTAGCACATATATTATTAGAATGGAATGAAGAGAAAGAAAATATACTGTACATATAAATTTAGTTTATACATCTTAAGGCGTAGTATATATTTTTATGGAGTACTAGCTATGGTTTGTAAAATTGGTAGTAGTAGTAGTAATTATGAGCGATTTTGTTCAGTGTAATTTTGTTAGTTAATTAAGACGATGACTCGATGAGTATGAAGAATAATCAAACTGTTTTATGCTTAATAGTTAGAACAAAAATTGTTTAGTGAGTTTCGAACTTGTGATTTTCATATATGTTTTTTTGAAGGTGTAATCACTATATTTACTATATTATTGGTTGGTCAACCCTTCACATGTCCGCCCTCAACCACTTTGAAGTATCAATTATTTGCAGCAACAGTGCAATGTGGACATCAATTTAGCATAAACAAAATCAAATTTAGGAGTCAGTTGGTAGCCTCCAAATTTGCAATACTCTATCTCTGTTAATGAATTATTGACCACTACAAATTAAGCTAATATATAAAGAAAATATTTCTGGATCATTAGGGAAAGTGGGAAAAATAAAATAGGAGATTGAGGAATAACATGCATGGATTCTTTGACCAGCATGTGAGGACTGAGGACTGAGGAGGTTTGTGCCTGGGAGTATCTTCTGTTTTGAAGGTCTTTGAACTTGGGGGGGACCTACTAACATGCATCAAATTGGCTCAACAATGGTATATGTAATCCTATTCTTCATTTACAGGAATACTAATAAATGAAATGTCATTATCTTCTTTTTCTTTAATACTACCACTATATGAAGTAAATTGCATAACATTCCAGTAAAACTGTCATGATGATCCAGTTCTTTACAACTTTTAAACGAACGCCAACAGAATGGGAGCGGGGTGGAATCTGGAATGAAGAGTGTTACCATGAGACCTGATTCGAAATTTCGTGATATCTTTTATATATATATATATATATATTCTCTTTTAATATAAGAGTCTGTCCTAAAATGATTGTACAATTTAGATTTTTGTAAACTAGAAATGAAAATCTACAATTATTTTCGGACGAAGGAATTATTAAAGGTCAATATAAATTTCCCTTTTAACTTCTCTCACGTTATGACCATGCGTTATCCACTCAATGGTATTCCATGCGCCTTAATGAATGAAACTCGATAACGAGCAAAAATGAATGTTTGATATCCATAGTTTATCTTCAAAGTACAAATCCACATATGTTTGGAAGCTATGATTCATCACACTCAGATTGAGCTACTGGACAGAGATCCTTGACTTAAGGTGTTATATATATTGTCAAGTTTTGGGGGAGAGAGATTGTGATTTGATATTTTTGAAGGAATGGACTCCTGAAAAAGATGGGGTGGACCAAAGGGTTTCACCAAAATGAAGTGCTACTTAATCCACCACTGGAATGGCCCATAACACCTCCCATAATGAATTTTGTACATCACTTTTAAGCTTTATAATTAACAACATTGCATCACTGTCTGCTGCTGTCTGCATCAGATAGTAACTGGAGATGAATTTTGTTATATGGACATAATGAACCTTTCTTGAATGACTTCGCAACTTTTTACTTTTTTTTTTTTCCCAGAAAATGGTCCTCCACTTCCATTTTGCATCATTTCTAGCTAAAGATATATGCATTGGGAAATGAGAATGCACAACAGTAAAGAAGTTTCTGTTTCCTTTTTTTACCTCCATTTTCAGCTACTTTGATGTATCTGAAGCCTGAACCATTAATTTGTTAACAAATATCCATCAGTAATGGCATGTGGACCAAACCTCCTCTCTGGTTCATCCTTTGATAAAAGGTTGAAGCCTTTTTGGCACAAGATAAAAAGGGCTTAATTTACAGACAATGGTTGGGCATGCACACCATGATGAATTCTGTTATCATTTCTGCTTTATACATCCACTATTCTCTGCTGCTGTCTTTCCAATAATGATATTCAGATAGCAACTTGAGCTAGTTTGCCACTTTTTTTCTATTTTTCGCGGAACACCATCCTTTGATTCATCATCTAGGCCGGAAAGTTATATGGACGAAATCTAAACACATTTCGGTGTACTGTACAGTGCTTTTGAGCAGCCACTCTCCTATCCTATTCTAAAATATAAAGTCTTACTTGTTCTGCGCTCTTAGTTCAACAAACAGTATTCTTATTTTGGGAATGTAGAGAATGATATATCCTATTCCTAACTTCCTCCACATCTCATGCCACACCGCTTTGTCTTATAAAATCATCTTTCTAACACATTGTAGCACTTAAGGGTGTAACAACCACCATTGTACCTGTCGGGAAATGAAAGAGAAACTACCGCACTGAAAAACACATGAAAAACAATCTAGTTTGTGAAAAATTTTGTTAAGTGGTTTGTTGAACGGGTGATTTGTATGTGCAATAGGAATGATCCAAAGAACACAAAAGCCTTTTAAGGCAACAGTCTATATATTCTCAATACATTCAGCCTGATAGTCTCCATTTTGATCACTGGCCAAATATTACCTTCCTTTAGTCGTTCATGCGGCAATGAAGTCTCTGGTTGGACTTGTATCCACATCGTCACAATCCTCTGGATCAGCAAAGTTACAAACGAATGCTTAGAATATAAGAGCGTTTTATTTACTGTGACATGAGACCAACAGGTCATATGCTATGCTAACTCATGCAATACCCACAAGGCCACAATAGCCTGATAAGCCACCTGACTTTACGATCATTCCTCCTCATTAGGCATCACACTATCCTCAGGAGGCTCAGTTCTGCACTGAGAATGCGGATACACAAAACCTCTCAAATGCTTTCTCGGACCTGTGAGGAGCGTCTAACATCAAATAGGTTGAGATCCATTGGAAACATCGGTACACAACCCTCTCTTCCATTCCAGGGTCTCCAATTCCACACTCTTAAAGATTCTATCTAGCAATGTTAATGGACGATTTCCAGTACCTATGAATGAAATTAACTTTTTCCCTCAATTAAGGAGAGATACAGGAAATAGTGCATTAAATTGGAGCCCAAACAATTTAATAATCAGAAACAAAAACAGGAAGAGAATTTACACGAAGGTAAAGAATTCAAAATCTCAACATATCGAAACATCAAAGTCCAGTAGTCTATATATTCGACCAAATTACAGTTATCTCTGCATAAAACTCCAGACTAGAGTCAGTTTCAGTTGATCTCGGATGCAGGTAAGAAAGGCTCCAAAGATTGAATCACTAAAGCCAAAAAAAACCTCCAGTTCCACTCATGGCTAGCTGATCACACACCTGAAAATGCGTAGATGAGGTGAAATAAGTATCTTGATACAATCAAGGCAAAAAATGCATGAATCCTTTTTTCCTTTACCAACTATCAAAGATAAGCATGGAGATTGGAGATGACTGTTGTAAGTTTGTAAGAAGCAAATGGACCATGTATACCTTTCTCTGATTGTTCATGTAAATCTTGTACAGGGCAGAAAGGTTTTGGCTGATCAACCCAGTTCTGCTTGGAAATAAAATAAACCTTATCATGAAACTTCTTTGTATGAGTGAAACCACAAATGGAACCCAAAGCAGCTTTTGTCGAAGCAGGAATTGCCAACAGATTAAGAGCCATACTTGATACAACAGGGAATCTATCCCCTTCGCTTCACCACCAACCTAAAAGATCAAAATAAGGACTGGTTTCAACAACAGGCTCATTCAGATATCTTTCTAACTCTGATCTACCATCAGCATTAGCAGTCTACCGTTTCTCTTCAATCCACTGCTTCTCAAACTCCTCAAAACTATCATAGTCACAAGATTCACCTTCTTTGATTTGGATCTCCTCCGAGATAGATGTCAATATATCAGGTCGATTTAACTTATCATATTCATCAAACAGAGGGTAAGCACAATCACGAATGATTCTTTTCATATCTGTTGTGAATAAATTTGATTCTTGAGGAATCAACTTCATACAACTCAACTTGTACCGGGGAACAAAGATTAGCGCAAGGTACAAAACCAACGCCATTCTTCATACTTTTCCCAATAATTCTGAAATTTTTCCTCCATTCTCCTTGCGACTGAACTTATATTATTCACATCATCTTTACATTTCCCTGCATTAGCCAAGAATGCGTGGATATGTAATATCCTTAAGAAGATCACGTTTGTAGTGGCATGAAAACAGCAAGAGATATGCAATGCTAACATATGCAAGCGCCACAACAGCTTGATGAGCCACCTGACTTTACACCAATCGTCCTCATTAGGCATCCCATTCTTCACACCGAGTTCATTTCTGCATTGAGGATGCATACCCTGCAACCTATCAAAAGCTTTCTTGAGCTTTTGAGCAGCATCCAACATAACATAGGTTGAAATCCAATTGGTTCGAACATCTGAGCACAAACCTCTCTTCAACTCTAGTTTCTCTAATTCAACACACTCTTGAAACTTTTTCAATCTGTCAGGAGAAAGCCTAATGTATTGAACAGCTGAACGCACACGAGAAACTGAATCAGCAAATTCACGTAAGCCATCGAATGCAATAAGATTTATCAGGCCATCAATGCAACTTAGATGGAAAAACTTACCACCAAGCAACGTCTTCTCTGAACAAGATAACCTTTTTCTCAAGCTGCGAATGGCAAGATCATTTGCACACAAATGATCAACAGTAAGAGCAAAAATCCTATCAATCCCCAAATCAGATTAGCATTTCTCAATAACCTTTTCTATCTCCTGGTTGCCTTGATCAGAAATTTCAAAAATCTCCAACACTTTCCCACACACCCTATCAACATCTATGAAATTTGCTTTCATACACATATAAACAATCCCTTGTCTTGACATCCAAGTGCCTAAAGAGATGCTAACCCATCCGGTTCCACAACAATGTCTTCAACTTCGCTTTCTCCTCCTCAAACAGTTGACGGCATTCCTCCTGCAGAAGTGATTTTGATGGAACCCGAAAAGTAGGACAGGCTGATGACACTAAAGACCTGAACTGTTGGCTCTCCACTACACACCTTGGAGGCAGCTCATTGACAATGGTTGCAAAAATAAGTGCTTTTGTTGCCTTCTCCGCATTAAATTTCCACCGATAAGTTGAAACATTATCTTCAATTTCATTTCTACCATAATAATATGATGATACTCTATGGTCCTTGATGAGTCTGCGACACAAATTAAGTTTGACTACACCTGAATCATCATCAGCAACCCCTCGTCCCGGCATCATTCAACAACAGAGACGATTACACTGGAGAAGCATCACAAAGATGTAACTACATAAATTACAAGAAGAGGATAACAGTAAAAGAGATCAAGACCATGATGAGAAATCCATTCTTTTTTGAGTCATGAATCAAAATTCAATACACGAGCTTACTAATTCATTTAAAAAAATGTCTCCATTTTCACAATAGATTAATTATACTAAAATTAAAGTGAACCCAAAAAAAAAAAAAAAAAAATTGAAAAGAAAAACATAGCAGTGACCCACGGATAAAATCATGAAGAAACCACCACACCGAAAAGATGACCGGAAATCAGGAAAATAAATGAAGGGTTGGACCTGGAAGCTGCCGTAACAGACGAAGGAGGGCAACAAGGTTTTTGATTCGGTGCCGGAACCGGCTGTTTCTGAATCTTCGTCCCGGTTCCACAGAACGAGAAGACCCGATTCTCTGTATTATTTCCGCGCTTTCACCAAACATTATGTTCCCGCTCACCCGATATACTATGGGCCTAAATCCTCGTAATAAACAGACACCAATTATGGGCCTTCCATCGTAAATTTTTCATCGAAAAAGCCCAATTCAAATTGTTTAAGAAAGACATTCCAAAAAGTTCTCGGCCTGCCCAAGTCTTAAACCTCGATCCCTTAAAAGTTAAAACTGTTAAACCCCTCCACCTTGCTCCGCCTGAAACCACCACTCAGCTAGAAATGGCGTCGTCACTCTCCGAGGCCGTCCCTAAATTCACGGCAGAAGCCCTCCGTTCCGCCGCCAAGTTCTCGGAAGGCTGTCATGTCGTCCCCGTCCGCCTCCGCCGCGCCATTAAGAAATACCTCCGTGGTAATTAAGGCCCGACCCATTAATAACGAACGAATTGATTTCACGCCCTAAATGTTTGTGGAATTTGAATTTTTATTTTCATGAACAAATGTTTTGTTTTTCCCTTGCAGAGGAAGAAGACCCACATATGAATAGGAAGGTTTTGAGCTTGTCGAAATCGTTGAGCCAAATTAAAGAAGTGAATTTGACGTTACCGATTTCCACCTCCAAAGAACTCGTGGAAGATCCTCTCAAAAGCACCGAAAGCTCAAAGAGGTGGAAAATTACCAGTGCCTATGGAGACATTGGACTCACGTATAGAGATGACGAGTCTATTGCTTACGTGGCTTCTCGAATGCCCGCTGTATTTTCTGCCTGCTATAGAGTCCTCACCGAGGTAAAATGATTATGATTTTATTTTTCGGGGAGTTTAAGACTTGAATTTTGAATTTTGGTTTCCTTCTTTGCAATGAAGCTTTGAAGGTAAAGTTATGAAACTTGTTTTGTTTTGATTTGAGTAATAGACGAAAACCATATCCATTTTGTTCTACAAAACTGGAGCTTTTTTGTTCCTACTTTACTGAAAGGGGAATTTTGAGCTTTCATCATGTGACCAGCAATAGACTGTATTTAAATAGAAATTTAGAAGGCTGATAATGGAACAGTGCAGCTTAGTCGTCCCATTTTTGTCCCTTGAATGTTGGATTTCACATTGTTGTGTTGTTTTTACCAAAAGCATCTGATGTGTAAGGTGGAGTTTGTGGAAAATCAAAAAGCTGAAATGTAGTCATATCCCGTTCACTTGTCTTTTTCATCTGGAAAACACTTACAGGATGAACGTTTTTGAAATTAACGGACGGAATAGATTACTGTTATAAATAGAGGACAGATCTTCTGATTCAATGCGATGGACAATATTGTCATTTATTCTTTTCATTTGGGGGGTTTTTTTTTTTCCAAATAGAAATTTGAAATTCTGTTACTGTAAGCAAAAATATACGTTCCTTTATTCTTTTCATTTATTGTTATAAATGGTTCTGAATTTTCTTACCTCTATTCATTTATCATTTTTTCTTTATCTGGGGGTTGGTTTGATTTTCTGGGTGTTTTGAAGGTCAGGAGGAGAGTACCAGATTTTTCGCCTGTTAAGGTGTTGGATTTTGGAGCTGGGACTGGTGCTGCAATGTGGTAAGTGTGTTTTAAGGTGCATTGGTAAGTGTTTTCATTTGTTGTGCACTTACCATTGGATATTATGGCTGTGAAGGGCGTTAAGAGAGGTGTGGCCGCAATCGGTGGAGAAAATTAACTTAATCGAGCCATCACAGTCTATGCAACGGGCAGGGCTGAGGCTTATCCAAGGTCTATTTTCACTAAAAGCTTAAGTTTGTAAGGAATTTAGGCGGTCCTACGTTTTCTGTTTCTAGTCATTGCGAAAATGTCTTTTTCTCTGTTCATCGCCTGAAATAACTGTTTTCTATCTAGTACTTATCTTCTTTTATGTTGAGTATTGCTTTTGTAATTAGCTTTTATGATTACTGAAGCATTGGTGACAATTTATGACTATTGTAGATCAAAAAAATTTGCCATTCATCCAAAGCTATGGCAGCCTCCAAGCACTAACTCAGAAAATCAATAAGTCTGAAAGAAAGCATGATCTTGTAATAGCGGTAAGTGTCTTTACTCTTTTGTTCTAATTTGGTATCAATGTTCAAACTTTTGATTTTAGCATTTAAAAAGTTGCAAATATACAGTCCATTTATAAAGATGGTTCTTCCCTCCCGTTGAGGATTTTGAAAGAATTCATATGCACGGAGTGGTCTTTTGACACCACTATTAATTATACTTTCCAAGGGTGAATCTTAACCACATTTTTTACTCTCTTAAACGAGCTTCTTTTGTTATCCACAAAAACAATGAAGTCCTGTTGAGCCCTTGAAATTTCTTATTAAACATGTATTTTACAAGTATTTGGACTATCATCAAAACTGCCTCACGTGTAGTGCTAATATCTCACCAAATTGAAATTCTTCAGTTGAGTTGTACCTTTGTTTCAATCGGTTGATTGCAAATGCTGGTCAGATTTTCTTATAAACACTGCCTAATCTATCTTTGCATCCTTTCCTTTGGTGAAGTCATATGTGCTTGGCGAAATACCCTCTCTAAAGGATAGAATTACGATTGTCCGCCAATTATGGGATCTTACTGGAGATGTCCTGGTAAGTGTGTGCTTACATATTGATTATTTGCATCTATGTGTTTGCTTGCAACTTCTCTTAGAGTAAATTTACCAATCTCTGGTTATTTTCAAAGAAGCCAGCGATATTGGCATACACTAGAGTGGTGTTTAGATTTCCTTTCATTGAATGATATATATGGATGAAAGTTACCATCTCATTATCTTCTTTAATGTGTACTTAACAACCTGAACAGCAGATTTTACTTGGACGTCGGAGTTGTTAAGCATTTTTCCAGTTCCAAACACATTTCCATTTTAAAAATTTTGCTTTGTAAGGGGATGGGGAAGATTGTGTTTGCGTGTTGTTTCCTTCTCCTGGAAACTAAAGAAATTTCAGAGGTTGCATACTTCACAATGTCATTGTAGTGGGATAATTATCAGTGTGTCACAAAGTTTATACCATAAAAGAGTTGCTGTCAGAATTTAGTAATTTTTCCATCTAATTTAATTTTTTTGAGAAATTTATTGTTATTATTGCAGGTTATTCTTGAACCTGGAACTCCAGAAGGATCTAATATTATCTCCCATATTCGATCTCACATTTTATGGATGGAAAACAGGGTAAAATCTTTACTTCCTTTAGGCTGCTCTGTCATATAACATGAATGTTATCATCTAATTGTTAACTGATTTGGTGATTTTATAGAAGTTCCGCAAGGCGGAAGCTGCAGCTCATAAAGGATCTACGAGCTTGGTAACAGCAAAAAGTGGTGCATTTATTGTTGCTCCTGTGAGTTTGATTGCATAGTCTTCAATATCATGTTCTTCACTTTATTTGATTTTCTGTGTTGTTTTGTAGTTTAATTATATACTATATTACAGTGCCCTCATGATGGACGTTGCCCACTAAATAAGACGGGAAAGTATTGTCACTTTATCCAACGTTTACAGAGAACAACATCACAACGTGCTTACAAGGTTTTGCTAAAACCGAGCTTTGTTAAACACTCTGTCTGTGCTTACAATTGTACGTTTATTAGCTTTGGGGAAATGATCTGAGGATGTTTTGTTGCGCTTTTGTATGAATTTCATGTATGTTCATCCAATGTTTTAAATCCAAGTTGGGTTAATACTATGGCACACATGAACAATCTTATCACAAATTGCCGAGTTTGAGGGAGACTGTAAGAGTTACAGTTGGCAGATTAGAAAAGTGCGCTGCAGTTTCTTTTTCATTGTTGGCAAGATGTTAAAAGTTAATCTTCATCATAGCTCGCTCGAGTTAACCTCTATAGTTAATTGTAACCACGTATAAGTTGTTGGCGATAGCTTCAAGTATCAAGGATTATGATTGCATTCTATCTCATTTGGGGATTTGGTTTCTTCCATTTCCATTTCCATTTCCATTTAGTTAATAGTTCTCTTTGTTGTTTGTAGAGGTCCAAAGGCAAGCCTCTTCGTGGCTATGAAGATGAGAAGTTCTGTTATGTTGCATTTAGAAGAGGTCAACGCCCCAGGCAAGTACTTTATCTAGTGACTTTTCAGTTGAAACCCCACGTATTTGGACTAACATGTACAATTTTACGGTGAATGAGATGTGAAATAAATATTGTCTAGTTCAACATGGCTAATTTAGGACCTACCCAAGGAACAATTGAAGGTGTTTCTTGGGTCGGGACCTGCCAGAGAAATCATATATTGCATATGTAGATGACAAAATCTAGACGTAAATGATGCTTTCTGCGCCCAATTTGTTGGCTCCCGGATGATAGTCTTGTTGTGTTTTAATCAGAGAGCCATGGCCTCTTGATGATATGAAGTTTGATACATTGAAGGAGCAGAAAGCTAAACGAAGTCCTGAAGACTTGGAAACTGATTATGGTAAGTTTCACCTTTACACACTTAATTTTTCCTTTATGGTGCAATATTGTTCGGTCATTTTAATCTCTATGAAATTTGTCACTCATATTTCTCTCGTTTTGGCTCTATTGACTCTTGAAACACCTGACAATGTCGCAGATGACCAATCTGTATCAGACACCGATGAGGATGAGCAGGAAAAGAACCTTGTTTCCCACAATCCTGAATTTACAGAAACTGAAGCCATTTCGGACTCTGATGCAAATGCAGAAGTGCAAGAAGAAGAAAAACCAGCTGCTGATCTTGGTAGCGGCTGGGGGAGAATTATATATTCTCCAATTCGGAGGGGGAAGCGAGTTGAGTTGGATGTCTGCCGGTCAACCAATCGCGATGGTTCCGAAGGTTCATTTGACAGAATCATCATTACTCAGAGTAAAAACCCAACATTGCATCTGCAGGCACGACGGTCACTCTGGGGAGATTTGTGGCCATTTTGAAATTGTAGCGACTATTGTACATATATTTGAAATTAAAAAGGTATAAAAAGAAAAGACAAGACATTAGAATTTTCTTTTGTAAATTTTGAAGTACATCATGATGGCAATGATAAGTTTGGAGGAAAAGAATAATGTACGAGTAATATTTATGTATGAAAATTTCTTACTGTTTCGTGTCAGTTTCATTAGAGATCTATTGTCGATTTGATCTAAGTGAGTACAACTTCGGAGTTAAATAAGCATAAATCGTCTAACAAGACCTTCCGGGGAATAAACATATATGTCAATCCTAAGAAAATTGCACTCCTCGAGTATATAAGCATTGGATGAAGCCTTGGCTTAGACTTGTATAACTACCACGGGACATCCATAATAACATTGAAGAAATTTTGCGATATGAACAAAGAATAACAGATCATTCCTATTGAGGACAAAATGGCTGCCCCATGAAGAACTTTCATGAGCGTAAACATCTCTTATCTCACTTGTATTATATTTACTCTCACAATATACATGACTTGAGGAAAGACACTGAAAACCAAGCCGAACGAACCTGTTTCTCCAGTGCAATGCATGCCTTACATAATTGATACCCAAAAGCGAGTTCTCCTTAAGTTAATGCATTCTTGGTCAACATCTGAGCAGATTTGATCGTTGTTGAGCTGCTCAGAATCTGATTGGCAAACCATGGTTAAGGAATGTTTTTATGCAACCATCCCAACCTGCGGTTACAACCACAAGACCCCACAAGTGGGATGAGGATAAAGCGCTCTTCAAAAACTTAAATTCAGGTCTTGATGTTAGTGGGGAAACAGCTGCTGCCAGTTGACTAGTATCAAGTAATTTTTCCTCTGGCCATGTTGCGGATGCCTTGGATAAGACGTCCAGAAACAATCCACGTCCCAATGATAGACAATCAGGCAGGGCTGAGTGTGATTTTGGGACTGAGTCTTCCTGCTGATCAAAAGGCCCGTGTTCTAGGATTGGTCCTCCTCCAGCCGCCTTATTTTTCAAGCCACCCCAAGATATAGTGACTGAAGCATTAGGAGAGAAGAAACACTCATGCGCAGAAATACTCTTTACACTTTTAGAAGTAAGGTTTTGGTTGGCGTAGTCCCAAATATACACATTGGAATCTTCGGTGATGGACATGACGTGTTTTCCATCTGAAGTGAAAGATGCAGATACTTGGCTTCCTGAACATTTCATGCCTGAATGTGGAGACATAAATGTAAAAAAAGAAGTCAACTAATGTTCTGTTCAGTATGAAAGCAAAGATCTCAGACAAAAAGATTAGAGGGTAAGAACAATGCCAAGTATATAAATGCAATGCTTTATGTGCCACCAAAAAGGAAACGATGAAAATTCTCCTACAAACGACTTGCTTGGTTCAATATTTAATCTCCCTATTCTCCAGCATACACGGGAAATTCAAGAAGTATGTTGCCTTGTCAGTTGCAAACAAACAGAACATGAATAGGTATCATGCAAGGAATGACATAAGAGATCCATATAATTTTCACCCTGTATATGATATGACAAAAATACCCGGTTAAACACAGAAAAGAAATACGCACCCTTAAATTTGCAGATGATATTGGCCCCAGAGAGTATGCGAACTTGTGAATCAGCAGAACTGACCATTACTTTGTTTACATCATCAGGGCAGAACTGAAAAATAAAAGGAATATATAAGGAAATAGCCACAGCAGATAAATTTCTGTTACTTAATTTTCCGGATAGCAAAGCAAGAAGTACATTTCCAAACCTGAAATCCAGTAATTCTCTTTCCACCCGATTTCTTCTTCCCTTGTAGACATATCTGAGCACCTAGTTGCATACGGTTATCTACAAGAATGGTAATGACATATATGAGCTTCACCAAACATCAGATCACTGAACTAAACAAAAGGGAAAAAGATCGCACAAACTATCAAACAAGTAAACATTACAAACAAATACAAGAATAAATAAGGCAACTAGAATGAGGAAACTCCAATATCACAATAAGGAACTTCAAATAGCGAGATTTTTCATGCTTAGACCATAAAAAAGCAACTATTAGCGGGCTCTTTCCAAGTTCCCAAACAGGCAATAGAATCATTGAACAAAATACTGAAACTGCAAAAGTAGTGCAATACCTACTACATCATAGAAACGACAATTGCCATCCATGGAGCCAACAATGCCTCCCTGCCCATGTTATTCAAGAAATGATATTAATCCAATGCCATGTGAAAGGCTATTTCAAAATCTATATTCTATTCCAACTGACCTTTCCATCAGGGGAATAACAGACAGCTGTTACAATTTCTCTCATATCAGTCCAATCAACAACCCGAAAATCATGCACTTTCCATATCCGTAATTTCCCGTCTATTGAACCACTTATAAAATAATCATCATCAGCAGGATTAAAATCTAGACAGGTCACTGCATCACCACCACATAATAAGAAATATGTTAGAAATTCATTGTAGGAATATGAAGGGGAGCAATCATCTAGCGGGTCAAAGACTCACCGTAGTTGTTATGTGCATAAACTCCAAGGCATTTATCATTGCCCACTTGCCACAGGCGAGCTGTTTTATCAACTGATGATGATAGAAGATACTGCAGTTGGTGATGGCATTAACGTAAGTACAGCGAAGAAGTATTGCATAGAATTTATTTTCATACAATGTGCATAGGAAGATGCCATTGGCATTTGGTACTAACCCCATTTTTAGACCATGAAAGTGCCAATACATCTCCACTGTGGCCATGAAACTCGTGAATTGGTCTTTCCAGAAGACGGAAAACCTTAGGTGGGAGAACAGCACAGGTAGACTCTGACGATTTTTTTAAATCTCTAACCTGCGCAATCATCTTCTCTGAATCCAATGGAGCTAACTTGGAGAACTGATCTATAGAAAGATATATACAAGAGGACTCTGTATCTTCAATATTATCAATTCTATTAGGATAGTCATCCTCAATCACCTTCCACACACGCACGACCCCATCTTGCCCGGCACTCGCCATGTATTGTCCATCATGACTGAATTTCATACTTAAGATTGAGCCTTTATGTGCTGAAAACTCTTGCCCAGCCTGCAGCAAAGACAACTCTTTTAATCTCTTTCCATGCGAATGCGACCTCACTATTCGAGGACCGTCCCCATTCTTGAAAGAATCAACTTTAGATGACTTCAAATGGCAAGTTGTTATATCACTTAGTTTCTGAAACCAGCCTTTTTTCACTTTTTTCTTCACAACTTTAAAATTGGAGTCTCTGCGAAAGAACTTTTGAACACTGGCTGATGTGCCAAGATATCTTTGAAACTCTTCAAATGACAGGGTTTTATTTGTTCCAACTTCACGTAAATAGCTGAGCATTCCGTCATTATTAAGTTCATCAGCCACATACTCAGTTCCATCATCCAAATTCCTAATTTTCCATAATTGAGTTTCCTCCTCCTCCCCAGCCGCACCATACTCAACAGATGATCCCTTAGTTTCATCTGTTTGGTCATTATCAGATCGAAATGATTGAGCCGAAAAGTAGCCCTCCTCGTAATCAGAGTTTGCCAAGACCGAATCACTGTTATAATCCAACCTACCGATACCAACTCCATCGTTTACTTCTTCTCTATCACCTTTGTACCACTCTAAATCCAATCCCATCCATTTTAGAAAACTAGTTCGCCGCCTTATAATGCTATCAGGTGGCTTTTGAGTCCAAAAGTCATATGCAAAAGCAAAATCTGCAACCCTAGAAGAACTACAAGAGGAACCTGAACAACCAGCACGATCAGACAATGAACTGTTCATCCCATCATCTCCACAATCAAAAAGTGATCTTGGGTGGTTCCACAAGGACTAGCCATAGCCTTCTTTGTGAAATTCAGACCACATAAAAATCTACAGAAAATAAAGAACAAAAGGAACGCAGTCAATACAAGATTCTAAACAAACCAAGACAATATCATAGCATATTAGATGCGAAAAAACAGGGGCCGCTAGATCTCGTCTCATCACATCATCAATTCACTATTGAAATCAACTGAAAAAAGTAATACTAATATAAAAAAAAAAAAAAAAAAAAACTAAGAATAACTTTCATAATTTTATTAGCAATCACAGTTGCTCAATGCATTCCAAGAGCACACAATCATTAAAAAGAAAAAAAAAAAAAGAGCAAGAAAAACGTGATCTTGATGAATTTAGTGGTTTTCTCCTCATCTGGACGGTCACATGATGACCATCAAACCACGGAAAACTATCAAAAAGGAATCTATTTTCGATGCAATTCATGAACATACAAGTGGAAAAAAAAAAAAAAGTTATGATCGTTGCTACTTTGATGATTAGAAATTTAGAACTTAAGATCTTCTCTCACCAGAGCTGTCACGAAACGTTCATCCAATAGCCCAGAAAAAATTGCCCCAAAAAATTTTAATTCTTGATTCCCATCGCCATAACAAGAACAAAAGAGGAAGTGTGCTGGATTGAAAAAAACCCAGAATTAAAGGGATTTTGGAAAGTGAAAAGAAAAGGAAAGCCAACTAAAAACCAACAACTAGAATTTAATTGGAAACAAGAAAGAAGAAGAAAAGGGACAAGTAATAAGGAAATTGAGGATGATGATGGGGCGTTGGGAGCTAGGTGCTAGGTGGGTGGGCTAAAACTGGAGCAAAGCAGCTGCAATAGAGAGAGAGCTCTGTGGCTGGCGTTTTTGGCTTTGAATTGAATTTTTTTGACAGGGAAATGGAAACTAACAAGTACTGCTCTGGAAACTGCGGACACAGCATTTCAGAATTCCCCTTTTGGACGGTTCTTTTTTTACATGTGCCTTTCGTTTTAACCAATGCTTTTTTCTTTTTCTCTTCTCCTTTATTTTGTTTTGGTGTATAAATTGTTGCTTTTGATTTGGATTTTCATACAAATCATGAACTCTGTCCTAATTGGCTGGAAGAATATTATGTCGTTTTATATGAAATTTTAGGGTCGTATCAAAGACTTTTAGAGATAAAAATAGATATTACTAGAGTAGCACATGTTTAAGTAGATTACGAGTTCGAATCTACATATAGAAAACTAGTACGTACTTCAGACCATTCATTGTCAATTTGAATATTATACGTGACCGTTTATAATTATTTCTTACAATTATCTCATGAATATTATTAGTGAAAAAAAACCTAAGATCTAGCATAAAGTTTTGGTGACTCGTAAATAAGAAGAGAGTAAATTATATAATTTGTTTCCTTTTAGAGGAAAAAAAATTGTACGAAATGTAAAAGGTGATTGAAAGCGATATAATCTGCGAAATGAGACTGACGTTTTTTGGTCATTCAATTAGGATGCAGGTGGCAACTATATGATGGGAGGAGGGCTCGAAGAAAGGACTCTCTACCGACAAGGCCGATGCAATAATTCTTGGTTATTTTGTGTGAGATGATGGCATAGTTGATCTTATTTAATAAATCTTATAAGCTCAATAAATTATATTATTATGTATTATTAAAATAAATAAATACAAAACATATTAACATTGTGAAAACGAAATAAAAGTTTTGGCCAAGTGATCAAAACTTTGGAAAGAGGACATGAATATATCACGGGGAACATGGATACTTGACTTTCAAATCACTCCAAACTTCTGTTCAAAAGTGAAAGTCCACTCCAATTAAGCCAGCTTGTGTGTTTGTTGAATGAGTTTATTTCCTCCCCTTTTTCAACCTACATTTTTCTTTTTCAGCTAGTATTTATTTACTATTTTTATTTTTTAGAAAAGCAGCTAGTATTTGTTGAATGAGTTTATTTCCCCCTTTTTTCCCCCCTTTAGATTGATGCAGAGTTTTTTTTTTTTTAATAAAAGAAAAAGAAACGATAATGATTATTCACTTATGTTCTCATTCGTAATCAAAGTCACAAGGTTATATTTCATCATTGGAAAAGTTAAGTTATGTACATGTATGGCAGTGAGATTAAAATGTAAACACTACAACGACAGGATGCGCATATATGAAAGATTTTGTTGATTAAATTAAGAATATTGTTATAGTAATGAATCGATTCCTATATTCTGCTCTAACCTTTGACCACATTAACCACAAATCTTTTTTCCAGTCAATTCTATAAAGTTAAAATCTTTTATGCAACGAAAAAAGAAAATGTTCCTTTTTCAATACATTGAATGAAAAGAATCTGTTTCCCTTCTTTGATAAAAAATAAAATAAAATAAAATACTGCTTTGACAATCAATTGGATGAAATTAAGGTATACTATTCTTTTATTTTAGAGTGGGGAAATTGTTGAGGCGACATTTTGAAGGTTGATTGTTGTTAAAGAAATCGCCATGTGAAACACACAAAAGCCCCGATATCCTTCCGATTATTGCTTTTGGGAAATTGATAGTTAATAAAATTGTTGAACCTGTTTCTTACGAGTCGATTTCCATGAATATGGTCCGACGAAGCTTGTCAACCTTTTTCTGGTTACTAATATTCCATACCTTAAAACTTCTACTGAATACTTCCATATTCGTTGCTTGAGATAACTGAATATTTTTAAGCTAATTTTTCTTAGTTACAAAAAAAAAAAAAAACAGAGGCAAATAAATCACTGTACTATTTATCTAGTCGATAAGTGAAACTAAATTACTTTTCGCAGTTCAGAAATTACTCACTGATAGTTAATTGGATAATTTTACCCCTAAACTCTTCTTCTTCCTCATTTTTTCTTCTTCATCTTTCATTCTTTTCCAACTTCTTCTTCTTCTTTCTTTTTCTTTTAAATCTAGTAAAAATCAGACTCTAAAAAAATGGCGAAAAGCGGCAAACAACAACGGAAAATCTCACTGTCGATTCTTGTAAGTTTTTTCCCCCCCATAATTTTTTTTTTACAAAAAAAAAAAACGAAGCCGGCCACTTCTTCTCGGTTGGCCGGTGAGCGGCCAATCTTGACCCGCCGACCACCCTGGGCAGAACTTGGTTTTTTTTTGTTAATTTTAATTTTTTTTTTGTTATAATTACTTTAGTTTCATATGACGTGTTATTATTCGATTAATTTAGTTAAATTTGTTTTTTAATAATATAATTAGTGCATGTTATTTTATTAGTTGTAATTAATTTAATTATATTTATATTAATTTATATTAAAATCATTATTGATAAAATTAATGTAGGTTAAAGGGAGAAATTTAATATCTATAATTAATTTCATTGAATTTATTTTAGTTTATCTTTGAATCTTTATTTTAATAGAATAATTATATATAATAATTAATGTAGGTCAAAGGGACAAATTTATAAGTTATAATTAATTTAATTAAATTTATTTTAATCTATATTTGTATTATTGTAATAGAGTAGTTATATAGATTAATTAATGTTGGAAACACATCTTACGTAAGTCTTTATTCCATTACAAGGGTACTAATATGTGTTACTAGCTCCGTCCCAAAAAAAATAGTTCACATTGAATTTTCAAATTTGTACTAAAAATAGTACAAAACTCAAAACTCAATGTCGACTATTTTTTTTGGGACGGACGGAGTACTATTTCTTGAAATGTTTCTACAATATATTATTAATTATGTGTTTTTTTTTTGGCAGTGGATCAACCGATTATCCAGTCTTCGTGGAGACATACTGGCGACACTCTGTGAACTTAATCCAGAGAGTGCAAAGGATTATGAGGCCTTGTTTGTTCAATTTCAAATGAATTCCGTTTGAGACAGAGAGAATGATGTGTATTTAATTAGAATGTTACGTGATACTTTTTAGATTTCTTTCTAATTTGACATGTTTGAAGGAATTTGTGATGAAACATTTGAAATTTAAATAACTAATTTTAATGATTTAAATAAATGTTATTCAGCTATTGACTAGATACACATAGTCGATTTCGCTTTGTTATTTTACATTGGTACGCGTCACCCTTCACCCTGAACCCTAAACCCTGAACCCTAAACGCTAAACCCATCCTAAAACACTGTTGTCACGACAGTTATACCAAAAACGATGTATAGGAGGTACATGAAAATTACTACCGAAATCAACACAATTGTAATACTCGACATTGCTGAGGTGAACAAGCACAATCTCACGAGTAGGTTTTCCAGCGCTGCTGCAATCAGTAATGGGCAACACTGTCGTACAATAAATTTCTAGATTCTCGTCTAATGTAGATCCAAAGCCGTACAGAAAAACTGCAGCGTTCCAGATAGTAACAATGGCATACAAGTCTTGTACCTAATAAATTAAATTAAATTAAACATGTTATTAAAATAGTAAATTAATTCTTATATATAACTACTCCATTACAATAATTCGAATCAAACAATAACACAAAAAATAAAATGAAAGTAAATATAAAAAATTAATAACAATAACACAAAAAAAAAACAAAAAAAAAGTTTCTGCCGGGGTGGCTGGCCGACCTGCAGATCACCCTTTGAAGATTGGCCGGTGAGTAATCCGGCCGGCAGTATTTTTTTTTTAAAAAAATATTTTTCTAAAAGTTTTTTGGTAGAAAAAATCTTATCAAAAGAGAGGGCAAGTCTTCTCGTGATTGTCTGTCTTGTTTCGCCATTTTCTTAGACGTAGAATTGTACTAGATCTGACTTTAAAGTTGGAAAAAAGAAATAAGAAGAAGAAAAGGAAAGTAAAAGAAGAAGAAAATAAGAAAAAAGGAAGAGTCGGGAACATAAATGTCCAAATGAACTATTATGTTGCTTCTCGTGCATTAGATAATTAAATTGTTCAAGGTGACTTTAACCTGACTTGGTCGCTATGTATCAGAACAGTAAGGAAAAAGATTGAGTT